TTCCCCCTGTGGAGGCAGCCCCCGGTGTTGGTGCTGGTGCCAATTCCCAGGCCGCCAAAATAGTCCCAGGGGGGCCCTACCACGGTCCGTCCCACCTCCTCGGCCGATCTCGGCTGCGCTCCCGCGGGCCGCCCCCCCCCACACCACCCAACCGCCCGCCGGGCGGCCGCGCCGGTGCCCCGCGACTGCTGCCGAGGTGACCAACGAGGACTCGCGCAAAGCCCCCCCCCTGGGTCCCCGCCCGGGTGGAGGAGGAGGAGGAGGCGGAGGAGGAGGACGAGGAGGAGGCGGAGGAGGAGAAGGAGGAGGAGGAGGAGGGGATGGGGAAGGGATGGAGGTCGGCGGCGAGCGAGCGGGGGAAGTGAGCAGGAGGAGGCCTTCGCAGAAGGCTCGGGAGTCTCCCCTGGTCTTCCGAGAAGTTTTCGCTCGGCCTTTCCCGAAGGAACACCGAAGATTTCTCAGGAGGCGCGAGGGCTTCTGAGAAGTCCCGCCGCCTTCTTCAAGCAGTGGCGAAGCGTCCCAGCGTGCTTATAGCCCTAACAAACAATGTTCTAAGAACCTGTTGTGGTTTCCACGAAATGTTCTTAGAGCATTTCTCGCTAGGACTGTCTTGGTTTAACGCATGTGGCTTATGTTCTAAGAACATTGTGTTTGTTATTAGAACATGTTTGGGTTCTAAGAACATGTCGAGGTAGGACTATAGGAATGCCGGGACGGTCGGTCCCTGCTCAACTTCTGAGAGGGCCTTCTCCTTCTCACTTTCCCCCCTCGCTCGCCGCCGCGTTTGTGCGCAGAGGGAGGCCCCAGGCAAGGGTGGCATCGGGTGGCGGCTTGCCGACGTTTGCGCGCCATGCGGCAGTGGCGGCCCACGTATTTGGGCCTGGCCCCAACTGCCCCCATGCGCTCCCCCCACCTCCTCGCCCCGCCTCCCTCCTCCTCCTTCTGCTCCTCTTGCTCCTCCTCCTCCTCCTCCTCCTCTTCCTCCTCTTCCTCTTCCTCCTCCTCCTCCTCCTCCTCCTCCTCCTCCTCCTCCTCTCCTCCCTCCCTCCCTCCCTCTTCGGGCATCAAGTGATCAGCAGTAAAGGGACCCCTAACCCTTTCGGGGGGTCCCAAGTCAGGAGGGCCAGAAACACAGTCGGGACGGGGCCCCTTCTGCGGATGTGTCGAGCCAGGCCGCCCCGATCTGTTGTCCCTGATGAGAATCAGGAGGGGAAGACACACACAGACACTATGAATCCTCCACTCCCCGAAAAATATGGGAAACTATGGGAAGTTGGGGGAAGACAAGAGCCCGGAAAAGATTGGAGGATGTGTGGGAATCCTTTTACGTGTTAGTATCTCTGTTTGTGTGTCCCAGGGCCCCTTCCGAAAAGACGGGGACCTCGGTGAGGCTACGTCGTCCTTGTGGCATCGGGGTGAGGCTTAGGCGGGATCGGCACAGGGGGGATGCATCGACCCCCCAATCGCCCACGGATCGCCGATGGGGGGCCCGATAGCCCCAGCCCGCCCAGGAAGGCTCGCAGGTGGGCACAAAACAACGGGAACGAAACAAAAAAAGGAAAGAGACGCACTAAGGACACGCCCGTGACAACCAAGACAGAAACAACAACAACAACCAAGCATTCCAATTTTTTAGATATACGAAGGTTTCGTCAGCGGGGGCCTTTCGCCGATCGATCGACGCCGTGTCGCCGATTCCAGGTCGATGCATCCCCCGCTATGCCAGTCCCCCCCCCCTGTCGTTCAGGGGAGGGGGGAGGGCCGAGGGAATGATTGCCAAGCTCGCTCTAGGCTTACGTGAGGGGTACCCAAACTCGTCCGTGAGGATGAGGCGGCCGTCGGGGAAGTGCTGGAGACTGCGGAACCTGCGAAAGGCACGAGAGCTGGACTGCTGGGACCCAGTGGTACTGCGGGCCACAGCCCCGAAGTGGAGAAGGGAGTGAGGAGGGAGGAAGGAGGATGGGGAGGAGGAGGAGAAGGAAGGTGGAGGAGGAAGGAGGAGGACGATGGCGAGAAGGGAGGAGGGTAAGTACGAGTAGGGGGAGAGGGGGAGGAGAGGGAGAATAAGTGTGGATTCGGAGGGAGCCATCCTCTGCTCCTCTTCCCCTCTTCTCCTCTTCTCTTCTCTTCTCTACTCTTTCTCCTCCTCCTCCTCTTCTTTCCACATCGTCCTTCTCGTTCTCCTCATCCTCCTCATTATCCTGCTTGTTCTCATCGTGCTCGTCTTCCTCCTTCTCCCTCATTATTTGTCCTCCCCTCGCCCCCTTGCCCGACTTACCCCTCCCCCCTCCTCCGCCTCCTCTTCCTCCCTTCACCCTCTTCCAATACACATCCTTCCCTTCTCTCCTCCATCGTCTTCCCTCCTCCCTCCTCTCACCTCAGCTTGAGGCTTTGCGGGGCACAGCACCTGGCCAGGCCACCCCGCTCCCTCGTTATACTCGCGTGCGTACGTTGAGAGATCGTTCCCAGCATGCGCGCGGTCCTAGCAGATGCCGTATCTCAAGACGGCGCGGAAAGATGCTCGTGCTTGTTCTAGGACTGAGTGCGCAGCTGAAGCGTAACGTGCAGTTTTGTACCAGAGCTCGCGCTGAGTTGTTTCAGGAGTCTGCCGCCCGCAGCATGCTTGGATTGTACGCCTGGATCTTCGCGCCGGAACTTGGGGGACGAGATTATCTCCCCCTCGTCCCCGCCCCCCTTGTGCCCCTGCAGCACCGCTCGACTGCTCACCGGGCACGAAGCGTGGGCCCTTCCTTCTTGCTCTGTGCACTTCGGCTCTGGCTCTGGTCTCACCTGCGGGTGCACTTCTGAGCGCCTTCGGGCCATCCTCCTCGCGCCGGCCCCGCTCGCACTGGTGACCCCCCTCTCTCCCCGCCCCCTTCCTCCGTCCCTCTTCGCTCCTCCCTCGTCTCGCAGGCCAGGGAGGCCTCCCCCACGTCCCCCCCCTTCGCTCGTACCCCCTCTTCTCGCCTCCCCAAGCATTCCTCGATCTGGCCTTTGCCAATCCTCAGCCACAGAGCTCCCAACCCCTTCCCCAGGGATTTGTTTCTCGGAAAGGGCGCGGACCCAATTATTTGGATGTTGACGACGATGATGATGCTGATGCTGATGGTGATGATGATGATGATGATGATGATGATGATGATGATGATGATGATGATGATGATGACGATGCTGATCACGATGATGATTATGATGATGGAGGTGGTGATGATGACGCTGATGCTGATGCTGATGCTGATGCTGATGCGGATGCGGATGCAGGTGGTGATGATTATGACGACGATAATGATGATACTGATGATGATGCTGATGATGAGGATGGTGACGATGATGAAGATGAGGCTGCTGTTGCTGCTGCAGAATATGATGCTGATGGTGATGTTAATAATGATGATGAGGATGATGACGATGATGATGATGAAGATGAAGATGAAGATGAAGATGATGATGATGATGATGATGATGATGATGATGATGATTATGATGATGATGATGATGATGATGATGATGATGATGATGATGATGATGATGATGATGATGGTGACGAGGAGGAGCAGGAAGAGGAGGGAGAACGCGCAAGGGGGAGGACAGCGGAGGGGAGGAAGAGAGGGAGGAAGCGGGAGGGCGAAGGGGGACGTGAAGAGGGAGGAGTGGGAGTGGGGAGGGGAAGAGAGGGGCGTGGGGAGGAGGGAGGGAGAGAGGAGGAGGGGCAAGCCAGGTGCGCTCGCGGCACGTCTGACATCCTACCCCTCCCACCCATCCCTTCCCATCGCGCTGATCTCTTCCCTATCCGCCGCCGCGTGCTATCGCAGACCAGGAGTTTCAGAAAGGACCCCATCGTGCCGTGCGCAATCGGAAAAGGGGAGCTGCTTATTGCGTATCTTGGCGGAAGTCGAGGAGGACGAGGTTGCGGATGAGCAGGAGATTAAACAGGAGGAAGTGGAGGATTTTACAGTCGGCCCAGATTAGTAGGTCGACTCTGCCAAATCAAGGGTACCCTTGTGTCCTGTGTCTCGCGACCCATGCTTCCTACATTCCTGTGGCAATGTGGCCCTCGGGAGGGCCTCGTGTCCTCTCGCGCGTCCTGTCCAATCGAGACCAACTGCAATCAGGAAGGGGGAGGGCGAGGAGCAGCAGCAGCAGCAGCAGCAGCAGCAGAGACTGGCGCGGGAGAAGCGGGAGGCGCACGGACAACGACCAGGCAGCACTCGGATCCAGAAGAAGCGGCCCGCGCTCGGGCGAGAACGGGAGCAGAGCGCCGATCCTAAAGTGAGGCCCGCGAGCAGCAACACACCATTCGGAGATATCGAGGCTGTTCCGACTGACAAGCAACACGGGCAGTACCAAAGGAACACGTCGGGTGCGAAGAAGCCACTCCCGCGGACGGGGGCGGACCACTCCCCGGGTATCTTCAGGGGAGCATTCAGATGGAGCTGCCGTGGAGGAGTAGGAACCAGGAGTGCTGAGCGGGAGGGGGAGGAGCGCGAACGGAGGAGAGAGATGAGGTGGATCAGTGATGAAGGGGGAGGACGAGGAGGGAGAATAGGAGAGGGAGGAGGAGGACTGGGAGGGGAGAGAGAGAGAGAGAGAGAGAGAAAAGAGAGAGAGAGAGAGGGAGAGACAAGAAAGAGAGAGAGAGAGATACATACATAACGAAATATATACGAAAGACAGAGAGATAACGAAATAAAGAGAGACAGAGAGAGAGAGAGAGAGAAAAAAAAGAGAAAGAGAGAGAGAGAGAAGGAGAATGAGAGAGAGGGAGGGATATAGAGAGAGAGGGAGAAAAAGAGAGAGAGAGAGAGGGAAAGCGAGAGAGTGAGAGAGAGAGAGAGAGAGCAGGTGGAGGAAGAGAGGGGGAGAAGGCCGTGAGGGCAGAGCGGGCGGGGAAGAGCTGCCTCGTAGGGTTCGCATCTCCCGCGAGGCCCCGCCTGCCCCGGGCCCCTCCCCGGGTCGGCGACGGGGACCTCCAAGAGCTACTGCCCGCGTGCACCGGCCAGAGGAGTCCATGGTCCCCGTGGCAGACGACAAGATCTTTGCCAAGGTTCGGCGCGCGACGAGCGGCGGAGCGTGGGGGAGCCGGGCCAGCGGGCAGAGGCGAAGTCGGCCGGTGGAGTTGGGCATCGGAGCCAGCCAGTCGGGGCCCAGCCTCCTTCTGCCGCCGGCAGCTTCGTTTCTGCTTGGGGAGCCCGCCGCCTTCGCCTCCCCCTCCTCCTCGTCCTCCTCTTCCTCCTCATGCCCCACCTCTTATCCTCCTTTCCTCCCCCTTGTCACTCCTTCTCCCTCCCCCTGTCCCCCTTTTCTCCTTCCTGACTCCGTCGGCGCTTTGCCCGCGATCTTCTTGCGGACGATCGCCACCAAATCTCGGGAATACCCTGTGGTGCTTCCTCCTCCTCCTCCTCCTCCTCCTCCTCCTCCTCACGCTCCACCTTCCCTAACTCGCCTCTCCCCTTTCTCTTCCTCCTCCTGATCCTCCTCCTCCTCCTCCTCAGGGTGGGAGGGAGCATACAGTGGAACTTTGTGTGTGTGTGTGGGTGTGTAGCTCTGCAGCCGCATGTTGCAGGCGGCGCTCCCGCGCGTGTCCCCAGCCAGGCCTCGCGGACCGGGCTCCTGCCCGAGGCCGCTGGCCTTGCCTGCCCGGCCCGCCTGACCGCCCCGCAGCAGCCCGGCGTGGTTCTTTGGGTCGGTGGTCGGAGGACGCGTACGGGGGCGGGCGATCAACGAGGCGTTCCAAAAAGAGACACTACTACTTTTGAGGAATTCACCTGTATGAGCTTAAACTAGTTTCGAATCCTTGGAGAGGGTTTCTATGCATACATGTTTCCGTGATCATGTTGGCTCAGGGGCACCCTCTGAGTTTCTGTCTTGCAATCGCCCTTGCAAGCACTATTGTTCGTTGCCGTTGCCGATGTTGGCGTGTCAGTTGTAGCGGAGCCTGCGGTCTTCCGCGGGCTCAGCTGCTGGCGCGGCCGCATGTCCTCGCACAGCAGCCAGGGCAGCCGACGAGGAAACAGTGGTGTGTGGAGGCCGGTAGGTGCAAGATCGGAGACAGGGGAGATGCCCGCCAGCCTCGAGGTCGGAGAGGAGGCTGACGCCTTTTCAGAGAAGCAGTTGGCCACAATAGCGCGGATGATCTCAGAGAGCAGCAGTCGCCAGTTCCAGGAGCTGAAGGACCAGCTGCAAGGGATAGCGAGCGGGCGCCCGTCTGGAGCCTCCGGCTCGGCGGCAGCGCCAGAGACAGAGGGTGCGGGCCGGCAAGCTCGCGACGACCCGTGGGCCGAGCAGGACCTATGGGGCGGCCGGCAGGAGTCGACCGGGCGGACGCCAGCAGGACAGTGGGAGTGCAGTACCTCATGGGGAGATACGCGCGCGTCCTGGTGGCAGAGCTCGGACGGCAAGAGCCACGGCTACGAGGAGACGAAGAGGACCGACGACGACGACGACGACAAGAGGTGGTCCTCGAGGGGCCAAGACTGGAGTTCGTCCAGTTGGTCCTGGCAGGATCGAGCTTGGTCTAAGCCCGACTACTCGGATCCAGACCCTTGGATGGGATGGGCCGACTTCCGCATCTGGCGCCGGAAGGTAAAACGCTGGTTGGCGTCCACCGACGTGCTGCCGACCAAGCGGTCCGACAAGCTGTTGAAGGTGCTGGATCTCGAGCTGCAGCGCAAGATGGAAGACATCAGCGACGAGGTTTTTCTTTCGGATGTCGGCCCAGAGGTAATTTTGAAACGTCTCGACGTGATGAGTGGCAAGAGAGTTGAAGATGAAGATCGTCGAGCAGCGAGAGAATGCCTCTTCGGCTACCAACGCAAGGCCGGAGAGACGCTCTCCATGTATGCAGCACGCATGGAGCAGCATTTCGACTTGCTCTGAGCGCAGGGACTTCCCCTCCCGGACAAGGGGATGCACCTCTTCATGGAGGAAGGGGCGAACCTCGATGACAACGGTATGCAGATGTTGCGAGTGCTCACACGTGGCTCCAGCAAGTACGAAGACATCCGGAACGCTATCCGAGAACTCGACCTGTCCAAGACGGAGTCGCTCTCGGCGCCCGGCAGAGCAGCTCGCACGTTCCTGGGAGAAGGAGGCGAGGAGAGCACGACCACATATTTTGAGGATGAAGACGCCGAGTCGGAGATCTCAGTGGACACCGACATGGAGAACGAGATACTACTATGCATCGACTCGTCGGATATCGATGAGGATCGGGCTCCACTCGTCCTGGCCGGGCCTCGGCAAGAACGAAAGAAGACATGGAAGGATAATAAGATGATGAAAAGACAAGTAAAAGTGGATAGGAAGTTCTACCCGCCTCCACCTCGTCCCGCTGGAGGTCCTCGCCCAGAACGTCGGGCGGCCAGAGGGGGAGACCAACGCTTCGGCGGCAGCGCAGGCAGCGGCGGCCAGCCCCGCCCCAGGCGCGACCGCTTCAGTATTGAGCAACTGATGAAGGTCACCAAGTGCAAGAAGTGCCGCAAGAAGGGGCGCTGGTCAAGAGAGTGCCCGGAGAACAAGACGTCGTCCGTGAACGGGTTCGAGTTCATGAATGAGGTCTCCGCCGGGGGGTCCGGACTAGTGCTGGCGACGCTCAGCGACGTGGCCCGTCGCTGCGAGGAGGTCCTCCGCAGCGCCCCCGGGGCAGCGCCGTCCCAGGGCGACGTCTCCATGACCGCCGAGGGCGGCAAGATCATCGTGGACACCGCAGCGGCACAGGATCTCATAGGCCCAAAGTCGTTGGCCCAGCTGGAAAAAAGGTTGAGTGAGTTAGGTTACCAGGTTGAGCGAGTGAAAAGTAGCAGTGCTTTTGCGAGAGGAGTCGGAGGGCACATTCCAGTCATCTCCGGCATCCTGATACCTCTGGGCCTGGAGGGCCATGGAGTAGCGATGCAGTAGACCTCGTAGGCCAAGAGCTCCCAGCACTCACGCCGGTGGGTACGCAAGAGATGTTGGGGGCAGTGATCGACCTGCCCCAGGGCCGAGTTCAATTCGCCCACCTCGGGGTCGAGACACCTCTCGAGAAGCTTCCCAGCGGTCACCGAGTAGTGAACATAGATCGCCTGGGACCCCCCGAGGACTTTGAGGTGCCACCCGCTGTTGCTGCTAAGTATAACTTGAAGCCGGGAGCGTTTCGCAATTCTCCCAAAGTATAAGGCCCGACTCGATGCGATCGACGGTGCGAGGGGACCGAGCGATAGCTGCGATGGACAGGCCAGGGGATCCAGGGAGTGCACGAGGGGCGACGGAAAGCCAGAAGTTCCGACAGTCAAACCGACATCGACGCCATCGAGAGCCAGCACGCATGTTGCGACTGCGTCGAGGAGCCCGGGGGTCGAACCGACGCCGACGCCTTCGAGAGCTAGCACGTACATTGCGACTGTGTCGAGGGGCCCAGGGCCCAAACGGGAGGACGGAGGAGAGGGGAAGAGGCCTGGAGACGGGCCAAGAGGGTCCCAAGAGGGCCCGGATCGGGAAGGTCTCGTCAGAGTGCTGGACGAAGCTCGTAAAACGGAGAAGTGCGGAAACACGCCACGCGCGTCCGGTTTTGAGCCCAATGCCAGAGAGGAATGCGCAACTCCATCGAGCACGTCCTTTTCAGACAGCCGGCCAGGAAACTACCCCGCCAGGACCTCCGACTCCGAAAGGTCCGACAGTTCCGTAGCCACTGGATCGAACGAGCTTGCCTACCAACCAGTCGACCACGACGACTGCAGCAACCGAGCACAGCTCATCCACCGATCCGATGAAGTCCGAGGCGGACGAGCCTCAGACGTGGATAGCGACCAACCAGCCGATGCCCGACGATATCCAGAAGACAGTGTTCTGCTGGGGAGCAGTGGTCAGCCGCGTGGTGACGCGCGAGGAGCTGACAGGGATCAATCTCTTGCGAATGAGCGCTCAAGGTCGTCTCTTTCCACAGGACTGGCCCAGGAAGATGAAGGTCACCACCTCGGTCCAGATGGCCTGTCGACACCTTCTAGATCGGGGGGTGCTGCTGGGCAACGGCTCGGCGAAGTGGCACAGGCGCGGCGCGTGCGCTTTGAGGCTGAGCTACTAGCCCACCCCGCTGGCGAAGGGAGAGATCAAGACGCGCCCGCCCAGGCCCCCAGTGATGCGCCCGAGTGCCCGCCAGGCCGGCGGTTCAGCAAAGGGGATCCTCGAGTCCAGCGAGGTGAGGCCGAAGAAGAACATGGAGGAGCCGTTTACGCCGCCGGCGACGCGCGGTTACCGCTCGGGGCCCCCCACGAAGAAGTACGACCATTTGGAAGTGGACGACCTTCCCAAGAGGCGCGGGCGCCGGTGCTTGGACCAGGAAGAGGAGGAGCAGAAGAAAGTGCAGCAGAGCATGCTAGAGACGCAGGAGAAGATCTCGGCGATGATCGGACAGGTCCAGGGCCAGGTGGCGAGCCAGAGCGAGACCATCGTGAACCAGGGGAAGGCCATCGAATGCCTCCAGGCCCACACCCAGAATCAGTGGAGCGCCATCGTCGCAGGAGCTACGCCGACGGCAGCGGCTGCGGGGACCCAGGGTGCAGCGTCGAGCACGCCGAGCGGCTGGCAGGGCGTGTCGCACCTCTCCCTGGCAGAACAGGTGCAGTACGTCAAGACCACCTGCCCAGACGGTCCAGTGACGCTCAATCTACCCTTTCCTGGAACGACCCAGCAGTGGGTGGAGAAGGGCGAGATCTACTTCGAGACGGAGAACGGGGGGCGCTATCTGCTCGGCCCGAACTTCGAAGCAGTGCCGACCCAGCGTCTGACCTGCGCTCGGGGCAGTGCCTGGACCCGGGCAGCTTTGCTCGAAGATTGGGTCTAGAGGACCACCAGGCCGACCAGATCCAGAGGGTCGTCGCCAGTGAGATGAATGCGGATTTCAGCCAATTGTTTTATGTGCCGCACTGCTCCGACGAGCGAAGTCAGAGAGCTAAGAGAGTGGCCCATAACACGACTTGGGTCACAAAAGGGCCCGATGGGGTCTTCACAGCATGCGTCGACAGATCGCTCGCCGGAGAGCGGCACTTGGCGGTCCATTGCCCGGCATGG